GGTTTATATGACTTTTTTTTCTATTGTCTACATTTTTTATTTATTTATTAATAACCTTAACCTTAATATTATTTATTTTTATTTCGTTTTTTTTTTTCGATAATATCTTTGCTGACGGTGGCTGTTCCTTGTTGTTTTTAAACTTTGGCTCCTTGTGTGTCAAAGATGCTACCTGGACTTAAAGGCTTTCGGGTGTATATATTTTGGTCAATGTTTTTGTTGTTTTGTGTTATTTTTATACTTGTATTTTTCCCGTCTTTATAATTTCTAACGCACTTTTTTTCTGCGTATCATCTCCGCGATCTCAAGGAGCAACTGGGTTTAAATTTTAAGGGCTATTACTTTGTTTATGTATACCGCTAAGAAAATTTTTATCAATATAATTTCCTGCATTATTGTTATTTATCCCTCCTCCTGTATATATTTTAATTAGCTTTTAAGGTCTAGTAAGGTTACTATATCCTTTACATAAGGATGGATAAGTCTGAAGAAAAATTTCCCTCGGACACTCGTATTGTCTTGAAGGGTCCCAATGGTGATTTCAAAGTGGACAAAACCAAGTTTATGATTGTTCAATGTAGTGATGGGAAATACGTTGAAGTTTTGATCGATCACGCAAATAAATGTCCATTTATTACTCCTACAAACGAGGATGCCATATTCTCATTTAAGTATCCTGCACCAGTCCTTGAACTTATTGTAAGATGGACTTCCAAATATGGTTTGGAAGGGACTGCAAGCAGTAAAATGATCCGGCCTTGTATTTATCGTGATTTTTATTCTGTTCTTACAGATGATTGGGATTATGATTTTTTTAATCGTCGATTGTGGACATCGATGAATTTAAAGTATTTTATAATAACAATGAATGCAGCAGAGGAATTCAATATAAGAGGATTACTGGATTTATTGGAAGTTGCTCTTAGCTGCAAGATACGTGGTGAGGATGAATCCACAATTATTAAGGGAGTTATGAGAATTGAAGAGGATGTAGAAATAACAGATGAACTCCTTAATAAAGTTTATAACACATATCCCTGGTTCGAAGCTCAAATTACTCCATCATGATAATTTTCCAAGAAAAAAGGTGAAATAAAATGTGGTTAATAAGTAAGAAGGGTTCAGAGCAAAGGAATAGATACAACACTACAGGTCATTTTACTGTGTTGTCTATTTAAAGAAATTGAAAAATGAAAAGAAATTTAATAAAGAAATATATGACGTTTCTTTGAAGTATTTATATACATGTTTTTATTCATTTCGCCTTTATGTATGATGCGTATGGATGATTTTTAGCAGTAGGTTGATCCTTCTGCATTTAATCCTTTAGTCTATCTATTTTTTAACTAGTAAGGTACTTTATTATTATCATAAGAAAAACATTTTTTAAAAACGTCTAACGATGGGTAAGCCAGGAAAAAAATCTGGAAAGGGAATGTTGGCACCTACAAATCCCAGTAGGCGCACCGATCCCACAAAAACAAATCTTCGTGATCAGCGAACTATTAGACGTTTAAAAATGTACGTATCAAAGATAAAGCGTGATGAAAAAGGTAATATCATAAAAGGTAGTGTCCTCAAAGCATCTGATCGTGTTCAGACTCAAATGGCGCGAATTTCACCGGATCGGCGTTGGTTTGGAAATACACGAACAATTGAGCAGGATGCCCTTCAAAAGTTTCGTGAGGTAATGCAAGCAAAACACAAAGACCCCTATAGTATAATAATAAAACAATCGAAATTGCCTCTAAGCTTGCTTGAGACACCAAAAAATGAAGAAGGCTCTATTAGGCAAGAGATGCAATGGGAAAAAACATTTGGTGACAAGGCAACTCGGAAACGAGCTCGACTTAGTGCAGTTGACATAGAAACACTTGCATCCGAAGCATCAGCTAAAGAGGAGTCCTATATTTCTGGAAAGCAAGAAACCGATAGGAATCGGATGAAAAATACAATTGAAGTTAAAGCTGATAAATCCAAAAATGGAATAGTGTTCACAAAGGGGCAATCAAACCGTATATGGTCAGAGCTTTACAAGGTTATAGATAGCTCAGATGTAATTTTGTATGTCCTCGATGCGAGGGATCCCCTTGGAACTAGGAGTACATTTCTGGAGGACTATATGCAACGTGAGAAAAAGTACAAGCATTTTGTTTTGGTACTAAATAAATGCGACCTAATACCGCTCTGGGCAACCGCTCGGTGGCTCCAAATTTTGAGCAAAGATTATCCCACTATTGCTTTTCATGCAAGTGTAAATCATCCATTTGGAAAGGGGAATGTAATCTCTTTATTAAGGCAGTTTTCGAAGCTTCACAACACCACACATAGGGGAAGCAAACGAACGAAAACTCCTATTTCTGTTGGAATTATTGGTTATCCCAACGTTGGCAAAAGTTCTCTAATAAATACACTCCGTCGTAAGTCTGTATGCAAGGTAGCTCCAATCCCTGGAGAAACTAAGGTGTGGCAGTACGTAGCACTCACACGATCAATTTTCCTGATTGATTGTCCTGGTGTAATTTACGATAAAGAATCTAACAACGAGGTTCAAGCGGTGCTAAAAGGTGTGGTGCGGATCGAACGTCTTGGCAATGCAGATAAAACGGAAATTATTGATACTGTATTACAGATTGTCAAGCCAAAGGACATCGTTGCGACTTATCAAGTGAATAAATGGTGTGATGCGAATGATTTTATCGAGCAACTAGCTAAGCTTCGAGGCAAACTTGTCAGCGGTGGTGTACCAGATGTTGAAGCTGCTTCACGCATGGTACTTTATGATTGGCAAAGGGGAAGATTACCGTGGTTTAACGCACCACCATTCGAGTCCAATAAAGACTACCGTGACGCACTGGAGCAGCCACATGATATACAAATGAAACATATTGAACACTATAGCACATTTAATATTGCAGAACTCACTATTACTCATGCCGGACTGGAAAGTTCTGATTACGTTGATGAAATTGATGAGACAAAAGATTGGACTTCGAAAAAAAGAAAGGTCGAATCCAAAAAAATGTCACAGAATTCAGAAGCAACTGTTGCCACGTATATTAACGAAAAAGAAGAGCAGAGGAAAAAAGATAAAAGACGGGAGAAAAGAAGAGCAGCAAGAGAATTGGACGGTGATCATGCAAATGGAGTATCAGATGCAGACGATGATGCACTGTGGGATAGGTTTCTTAAAGCAGCGAATGCATAAAAGTAAAATTATAAATGGTAAATGATTAATCGGTTAAGTTTAATAATAATAAATTATATTGGAAGGTAGCTGACTAGTTATTGAAGAGTTAGCATGACTTCTTTTTGTAAAATTTCGTATCTTGATATTTTTCAACCGGAATGCTGATTTTTGAATCCTTAAGAATATATTTTTTATTTTGTAAAAAATATCACAGTTGCATAGACTAAGACTAAATACATATTTATATATAATAAATATTTATGAAATGTAATCAGGTGAGTTTCGTGCAGTCTAATGTAATTGACAAGAAATAATCCATCGTAGAAACTACATAAACTGTCCTTGTGTAACTTTTTGCATAATAATATTCGAAAAAAATCACTGCTCGTATTTTCAAACCTGAATAATATATTTTTATTCCAGTGAGGCTCCAAAATTGCGTGTTCTTATTAGATTCTAAAGGCTTGTTGGTAAAACTGATTGGGGTCAATATTGTTGAAGCTTAATTCGTCTGAGAGTGCTTCACGGCATTGCAACTTTAAGAGGGACAGAGAAAATATTTATGGAAATATTTCTGCTTCATTTCCTGTATGCATTTTTACTCAGAATCCATATTTACTAGCCATCTCGAATGGAAAGCATGGAAGGCTATTTTATGATTCCTGAAAATATTACCCTTGATGCCCTTTCTTAAGTTTCTTGCTTTCAGAGTCAAAGGTTTTAAATTTTTTTGGCACAAAAATTTTTTCTTTAATTATATAATATCTTCTTCTCCAAGTCGATACTATTTGACATCGCCAAAGCAAAAGCTACCAATGTTTTTGGATACGTATTACAGCATTACACGTAAGCCGTTGGACCACCCTCTAGGGTATATGGTTGCCATTTCTGGTGCTCTTATGGAAGTGATGTGCTATGGTATTGACAACGGGTTTTCTACCTTTTCTCGTGATATGGAAAATGATCCCAGTTTAGGATCACCGAGTGAGATTCGTTTGAGCTATGGAAACTCTGTTGCCGTTGGAACTTCTCCTATCTTTGGCGTGTTCGCTGGATTATTGGTAGACCGCTTGCCGCCGCGGCTGATGATGCTCGCTTCAACACTCTTTATGTTCCTTGGCTTATGGATCGGATCGGTTGCCAATAACGTTGAAGGTGTGATCTTTGGCTACTGTCTGATGGCCTCAATTTCCTGTGCCTTTATGATCACTCCCTCGGTCACTACAACTGGTACATGGTTCCGAAGACGTCTGAGTATTGCTCAGGGCCTTAACTCCTGCGGCGGGGGCATTGGAAACTTCATCATCCAGCCTGTTACAGGCTACTTGGTGCAGCATTATGGCTGGCGCAGGGCCCTTCGTTACACGTCATTTTTCTGTCTTATTGGGGTTTTCGCATCGATCTTCTCCTGCAAGCGTGCTGAGCCAAACGAGGATTCGAAAGAGGCGCAGAGTGATGCCATCGTCAAGGAAACGGGTGGCTTAGTGGTGACACATATGTCGAACATTCAAGCGCAATCGGGGACGGCATCACAGAATGATTTGATAAGGAAGAATTCTTCTGGGTCGATGCAATTCAATGACAATCCCATTATCACAGATGCGTCTTCAAATATACACGAGCACCATACAGTGGGACGGTCCCTTGTGACTGAAGTTAACGATGCGGACTCTCTTCCCGATCACAATGATCTCATGTATGCTGTGAACACTAGATCACTATCTATTGTTGAACTTATTCGAGTATTTTTGACAAAGGAATTTCTCGCCAACTTTTTTATGTACTTTTTTTTCGCATGGACCTTTTTTGGCTTGCTTTGGAGTGTTTTCAGGTTTTATGTCTCTATGGGTGAAAAAGGAACACCTTATGAAAACGCGACACCCATAAGTTATTCACAAGCTGCCTCACTTTTCACCTTTTGGGGTGCTTCCCAGGTCTTCAGCGCCATTTCTACGGGAATCATCGCTAATTTTACCTCAGAGCCTTTCATATACATTTTGAGTTGTATCGGATGTGTCATCATGTGCCTAATAACACCTTTTTTCCGAACGTACGCGCTCTTTGCTTTTAGCATGTCTATTTTGGGTTTCTGTACAGCTGGTATCTTTACAATGATGCCATGTTTTCTTGTGAAACAATTTTACGGACCAAACTTGGGTTTGATCATTTCCATCATCTTTGTGGGTGGGTGCGTTGGGGGATTTTTTTCTCCAGTCGTTCTGGCGCACATTCATACATTCTTTAACAACTATACACCGTGTTATATGTTTATGGCTTTTTGCACGATGATATCTGCCATTTTGTGCTTTTCTTTATTGTCGAAGAATAAAAAATGTGGAATGCCTTTCTGCTCAATGTGATCCACCTTCCAAATTGGATCCTTATATTGACCTAATAGTAATGATACTGAATTCCTAAAATATAGGGTTAGTTGATAACTAAGGTAAATATGAAGGACGAAAATGAACGTGCGCTTACTCATCCTAGATGAAACGAATTAATACAGTATAACAAGGCTTCTTCGGCATCTAGTTATTGCCGCACATTTTTATTCTCTCTACCTTTTTTAACCCCTTTCTCTTTCACTGCACTCAAATGTCTTTCTGAAAAGCTGAAAGTGACTTTTCATTGTCAATCACTTGTTACCAAGCATTACTTTGAATGCAGTGCTACGTCTTTAATTTTGTGTGTTATTAAATTTACATTTTTATTAGCCATGATAGAGGAAAAATTATTATCAATTAATGTAAAAACATCTAAAACATTTAATTTTACAGAAGTGCGTTCAATAAAACGCGAATGCTAAAGGAAGCCGGAAAAATCTGAAGAAATGCAAAATATTGTGTAACCAAAAGAGTGTGGGCTTTTCTTTCTCTTAAAATATGGATGACGCAAAATGTCTTTCCATGCTGACGTATACAACTCTCCGTCGTTTCAAGCAAATCGGCAACGAAGTGGGGAAGTAAAATATTTTTTATAATTTTTTGTTAATGCAAATTCTTAGTAGAGATAAGCAATTATTTATTTTTACTAACGATAACTATTGTATTATTTTTAATAAATTTGATGCCATGTCGGCAAATGACATTAGCTTATGGGCCTTCGCAATATTGCCCCTAATTTTATTTTCTGTAGGATATATTCGCATATGCATAAAATTATCCGAATTAATATTTATGAGACGTTTGCTTTTTTATTTAAATTTTAAAATAAGTGATATATATATTTATTAATTGATGAAACCTTTATATTTAATTCTTACGAGTGGGCTTTTTGTAATTTTTTTCCTGAATGCTATGATTCATTTTTTTTTGAGATTTAGTATTATTTTCATATTTAGGAGTAATTTTTATTTAAATTTCGGCATTTATTTAACCACAGTTTTCAAATTTTGAAATAGACGTAAAATAGAAAAAGATAGTTTGAAAATACAAAGTGATTACAGTTTTTTTCTTGATTAGAGATTGAAAAAATAAATAAAATAATAATATTTCGTGTTAAAAACAGGGGAAAAATTAATATTCATGCAGACATATAAACGTATTCTAACTTTTTTTATTATTGATATATAGGTATGCGCGTATTATTATTTAATTCAAGGGTACAAATCTAACTTTATTGTCATTCCTTCCCTCCCCTTCTCAACACACAGAATGTTATTTTATATATATATATATATATATCCTTGCTTAGACTTAAATCTATTTCTTTATCTTCCCTCAATAAAGCTAACTTTGGTGTTTAAGGTGTGACACTGAATAATAAGAGATAATATTTCGGCTGAAAATACAACGAATATCATAGAAAGAAATATGAGTAAGCTGCTTAGTTCACTAACAAAGCCGATAACTGTGCCTGTGGCGATGTGTGCACGCAACGTAGCTAAGATGGATGAAGCGCTTAAACGCCACATTACTGCTTATGAGGCTACTGGTAGGGATGTTTGCGAGGGCGTTTGGCGTGAATACATTTCTTGGCAAATCCGACTACTTCCATATCGTTTCAATAAACTCAAAGCCGAATGTAGAGGTCTTGTATCAGGAGATTACCCCCTATCGGGCGTCGGTTTCAAAGACTTCGTTTCTCTTGCCCGCTTTGCGACAAACTGTCTCGTAATCTTCATTGTCTCTGTCATGGTGGCGCGTTATTCCATTTTCCCTCTTCTTGAACCAGACTCCCCATTTGTCGAAGAAGTGCTAAATAGTTGGCAAATTAACCTCATCAATAAATTCTCTGATGAACCAAGAAATTCACTGAAACTTTTATTGAAGAATACGAGCTGAGCATATTTGGATCATCAGCACGCAGTAAGGCATTATTTGCTGGAGTAAAAAACGCAATATGGTAAACTCAGAAAATATGATTTGATATCAGTGGTAGAAATGTAAATCTTCCTTCCTTCAATCGTTTAACTGTTGAATTATGAATATGCTTATGGGGTAGTAAAACTCATTTGACAAAAAACGTACTCTTGAATGAGTAACATATCTATGATGTACAATTACTAATCTTATTACATTCCTTTCACACAGAAAACGAGGTATTGGATAAGTGTTCCGTTAAACCACGATAGTAGCAATTTGTCTGAATTTCCAAATCAAATATATCGTACCAGGTAATGCGTCGTTTCTTCCAGAAGTACTCAGCTCCGGCTGTTGCACGCCTTGTGTCATCTGTGTCCGGTGCTTCTATTGGTGCGACAAAGATGCCAACTGCCGCTCCAGGGCAGAAGTCTTTCTTTAAGGCGACTGAGATGATTGGGTATGTACATTCCATCGATGGTACGATTGCCACTCTGGTTCCTGCCCCTGGAAACCCTGGTGTTGCCTACAACACAATCATCATGATTCAGGTCAGTCCTACTACCTTCGCTGCCGGGCTCGTATTCAACCTGGAGAAGGATGGCCGCATTGGTATTATTTTGATGGATAACATCAATGATGTGCAATCCGGGCAGAAGGTGATGGCGACGGGCAAGCTGCTGAACATCCCTGTCGGTGCGGGGGTTTTGGGCAAGGTCGTGAACCCATTAGGCCACGAGGTACCGGTAGGACTGTTCACACGCAGCCGTGCGCTATTTGTAGAAGAGCAGACAGTGGGGAAGGTCGATGCTGGTGCACCCAATATAGTATCGCGCTCTCCTGTGAACTATAACCTCCTGACTGGTTTTAAGGCTGTTGACACAATTATTCCCATTGGCCGCGGTCAGCGTGAACTGATTGTGGGCGATCGTCAGACGGGAAAAACGTCCATTGCAGTGTCGACAATTATTAACCAAGTGCGTGGAAACCAGCAAATTCTGTCGAAAAATGCTGTCATTTCTATTTACGTGTCCATTGGCCAGCGTTGCTCTAATGTTGCGCGTATCCATCGTCTGCTTCGATCATATGGTGCGCTCCAGTACACCACCGTTATGGCAGCCACCGCAGCTGAACCGGCTGGTTTGCAGTACCTGGCTCCCTATTCGGGTGTGACCATGGGCGAATATTTTATGAATCGTGGCCGCCATTGCTTGTGTGTGTATGACGATCTGTCGAAGCAGGCTGTAGCATACCGTCAAATCTCGCTGCTTCTGCGCCGTCCGCCTGGCCGAGAGGCGTATCCCGGTGATGTATTCTACCTTCACTCTCGGCTGCTGGAGCGTGCTGCCATGCTTTCGCCCGGCAAGGGCGGGGGCTCTGTTACCGCGTTACCCATTGTTGAGACGCTGTCTAACGACGTTACAGCATACATTGTAACCAATGTCATATCCATCACGGATGGCCAGATTTATCTTGACACAAAGCTTTTTACAGGTGGGCAGCGTCCAGCCGTGAACATCGGCTTGTCGGTGTCTCGCGTTGGTTCGTCTGCTCAAAATGTTGCTATGAAGGCCGTAGCTGGCAAGCTAAAGGGTATTTTGGTGGAGTATCGCAAACTTGCCGCTGACTCTATTGGTGGGAGTCAGGTTCAGACGGTGCCCATGATCCGAGGTGCGCGCTTTGTTGCACTTTTCAATCAAAAAAACCCTTCTTACTTCATGAATGCTCTGGTGTCGTTATACGCATGCTTGAACGGCTACCTCGACGACGTGAAGGTGAACTATGTCAAATTCTATGAGTACCTACTTGTCACAAAAGACCTCAGCATCATGAACGGTACTGCAACTAACAAGTTCTTCTATATGTATGTACAGCAACTAAACTACGTGATTAGATTCTTCACACTGAACCATCCTGTGTTGAACGCTGAAGTGGAAGAGATGTTGAAGCAGCACACACATCTGTTTCTGCAGAACTACCAGTCCAAGATGAATGCCATCAAGAGTGAGAAGGAGGTAAAAGCGCTTAAGAATCTTCTTTACTCTTGCAAACGTGCAGTTTAAAA